CTAGGGAAGTCATACTACCCACCTCCCAGGATTTGTGTGATGGTTTCATGACAAGATTGGTGTGAAGCCCTCTGTACAGCTCTGAGCACTCTTGGTGAAGTCTCTGGTCTTGTCAGGATCCCTGAGGAAGTCGTTCTCTGGTTCTTCCTCCCTCCAACTTTAACCACACAGCAAGAAGGTCCTCTGTGAATCTGTCTGTGCTGGGTCCTTTGCATCCCTTATCTTAATATTCCTTAAATCCTATTAGATAAGTTATACAATTATTTCTGATTATGGATGAATAAAAAGAGAATTATGAATAAATAAGCAATACTGCATTACAGAGATGGTGGGGAGGAACCAAAGTTTGAACCTCACAGTGTGATTCTATGTTTCTGTCTGGATGGCAAAGAAAATCTGTTTAACAGAAACTCAACTGCTGGATGCTGAGCAGCTTCCCATTGAACGTTGGTTCACTGACCAATTGTTATTTTCCACTGTCTGGACACAACTTTTATCATTGTGGAAGAGAATGGAAACCACTGTCTGCCATCCCTCCTATCTTCATCCTGCCACTGGTTTGTGACTGTAATGAAAATGTCCACCTCGTCTTCACTTTAGGAGACAATGAGCTCTATATTTTAGGGGTTTACATCTACTAGGTTGGGAAGATGCGTAATTGAATGGTGACAGAGATATCCAGAGTTTAGTGGAAGATAGGATTGGGAAAGACTGTCATCATACCATTTATGCTTTGGAACTATAAACCCCTGAGTCTGAGACTTCAGAAACTATCCAGAATCTTCCTTCAGGGTCCCTGTGAAAGACTCAAGGGTTTGTATGCCTGTCAGGTGGTTCTTCCTTCTGTCTGGAGTCAGGGTGTCCTGATCTGGTGTGAGTGTGAATGGCTTGTAGAAGGCTAGTGCATGCTGAGGCAAAGCTGGCTAGAAGCCAGAAGAATGAGGCCCTGGACTAGGTCCAAGACTGAAATCTCTAAATGGGAGGAGTGACCAAAGGAAAGGAGTTCTGTAGTGTCTGGTAACATCTAGTCCTTAAGCCCAACTCTGATTCCCTTGCCTATCACTGGTCATGTTCAAATTCTGTTTGCTTTACTTTCTGTAATTGAGAACTTTACTTACAGGGTAGGAGAAGATGTGGTTGGGGTGGTTGAAGGAAATAGGTGAGGATGGAAATTCTATTCATTTTTAATTATTTTCTAAATATACACCTCCCTTAACCTGGCACTTTGTCTTGTTTTAGGTCCTATCTGACACCTTCTTATCAGACATCAGGGTCATAGCTTGGGGGAGGGGTGACATGGACACCTGTGGAGGCCTCAACCATTGTCAAGGCCCCAGAAGAACTATCTCCTGTCCAGGAATGAGTAGTGGTTTCTTCTGTCCCTGGATCAGCTCTGTATTCTTCCAACTATTTGCCCCTATTATAGGTTAAGAAAAGAATATACTTGTCAGGGATCCCTTTGGTCAAAGTATAACAGAAAGGAAAAAAGGTAATCAGCCCTAAATCACTTAATTGGTCTAAACTGACACAACCCTCCTTATGGACCCTATCACTTTGAGCACTCCTTGATAGATCATTGAAAGAACGTAGTCTTCCAATTGATACTTACAATCAGAGTATTAATTGATTTGCTGAAGAGGCTTGTTGTCATTAAATGATATGCATTCTTGGCAAAAGAATAAATTCATTAAAGTATTAGCTAAGTGTATACAGCAAGTATTTAATCCATTTTATTTGATGAATGAACATTTTTTTTGTATATCCTTAACTACTGGTTAACAGGTCCATGAATTTTTCTTCCTAAAATCTGTCACCTGAAGAGCTACAACCTGCTCATTGTACTCTTCTGGAAAGTGCTCTCCTTTGGGGAGTGGCTGGGGATGGGTATTGATCACCTCAAGGTGGTTGTGGGAGGTGGCACAAACCTTATACTTTTTTTGGTAGTGCTTTGGTTTGAACTCAGGGTCAACCACTCGACAACTTGAGTCATGCCCCTAGATCATTCTATACTTTTAAAAACCATTTATGTGACTTAGCCTGCTTTGAACTAAGGACTCCCCACCTGTCTTCACCTAAGCATCTGTGTTTGGCCTTATGGGAGATAGTGTCTATGATTCCAAGGCCCAGTTCCAGACTTCCAGTCCCTTACTGACTGACCCTGGTCCATGTCTGCATCCCTGGTGCTGGTCATCACTGTAACACTGTACCTGGGGGCTTTTGGGGTTATGCCCTGCTGCAGCCCATGTGTCTGCCTATGGACAGACCAAAGAAAGACATGGGTAACTGGTATCTGGAAGGAGCCAAGCAGGTAGATTCAACTAGAGAGAGGAAGTCAGGCTTGGAAAGGAGAACTAGACTCTGTGAGCAGTATCTTTGCATCTTCTGGGTGAGAGCCACAGTAAGAGATGCATTTCACATAGGAACCAAGTGCACACTTTGCACACACACACACACTCACACACACACACACACACACACATATACTTGAAAGGTTGTGCCACATGGATGCACCTTTGCTTCACTTTATTCTATTGTGTTGAATTAAATTTTATTATATTCTATTCCAGTTGGTTTGATGGGCTATAACCTGTCAGATAGATTTCATGGCTTGGTTGATGCAGAATGAAGAACACCTATGAATGGATTCCTATTTAGGGTTCTACATAGTTTGTGCCTCATCCAACTATCCTGAGCTCTATCAGGAGGATTCACAGAGATGTGGGAACCAGCCTGGACTAGTTATGAATCCAATAGACCAGGACTCTAGTGAACATAGGTCTTAATGTGGTCTAAAACTCTAGTTATATTCCTCATGTGATCACTATCAGGAAAAACAGAGAAAAGAAATGTGCTTATTCATTCCAGGAAAGTGTGATATGTCTCTCCATGATTAGCGGGAACAGTATCGAACCTAGCATGCTCTGGGAAGATGGTGTTTAAAAGGCCCCCACCTCATTATAGTATCTGTAAAGGAATGAGTTTGTGCTCTGCAACTAAGCCAGTTTGTCTAATTCAGATAACATGTGAATTGAATCAGACAAAAAAGTCACTTTTTGAGCACTTCATGCTCAAAACCCCACCTGAACTTCCTATTCCATGGGTGGTCCAGGTAAGGAAATGATGAGCTTTCTATAATTTCAGGGAACCTTAGATATTTCTTACAGATGGTTCTGATCCTGGGAGTTTGTCCCTATAGAGAAAATGAAGAAGTTCCAGAACCCAAGAGGTGTGGGTGGCACATTCTGACCTCTTTTTCCAAACTTGATCCCCACGGAAAGACCCAAATAGCAGGAATTTATAGGTGAGAGAGAGGCACATTGCCTCCATGCTTGTGGGTGGGATGGGGTGGAGCAGTAACAATATTGAGGTGCTCTGTATCCTGAAGAAAGTCAAAGAGGGGTACTGCTGTGAGCATTGAACAACCAACCCCCAACCTTTTTGCCCTGCTTTTATGGTTCCACTGTTCATGTCATTACATGAGCAGGGTAGTTAGCCAAGCCGCACTTAGGAGCTCTTCACATACCTGCTCCAGAAGAGTGACTGTAATCAGATGTCAGTGGCCCTCCTGGTATGTCACTCCTTCCCTGGGGAGAGGTTGCTGTCTTCAGGCAGTGGCAGTTCCCTATGGGATGATTTAAAAGAGGAATCCAGATTCAAGTGAGGACAGAAGTGAGGCGTGGAGATCTGAGATCCACTTAGGAAGAGATGATAATCTAGGAGGGAAGACGATCTGGAAAGGGCAGTCTGATCTTCCTGGGTTCCCTTCTAGTCCCTGATCCTCAGCACAGCCCTTGCTCTCTGCTCTGCGTTTTCTATACCTGAGTCCTGCCTACCATGGCACCACAGGGAGGGGACTCCAGTGAAGGGAAGTTTCAGTTTCTATTCCTGGAAATGGCTGGTTTTCAGAATTCAGCTGGACAGTTCCACATTCACACTCAGGGGAGGGTAGCTGAGCTGCAGTGTTGGATTGAACCAACTGCAGGGCTTCTTTCCTATTCCTGGAAAATGACAGCCCAGCACAGGATCAAGTCTTGTGGGTCTGACCCTGCTGCTTCCCCAGCTGGAGCTTACTTGTTCAGATGATAGCTCCTAGCCCTGAAAATGCTAACATTCAGAGTCAGGGAGACCTAGCCTCCTAGTTATTTGCAGACCCTCATGGAGAAGTCGCTCAGTTGTTCCTATGGGCACTCTGGTGTCCCCTGCTCCCTCCCATCCCACCTTCCTCATAATGGAGAAGATTGGAGCAAGAACGAGTGGAAAAGCAGAGTCCTGTCCTTGCAGCCTGTGTCTCCTTAGGAAGGGGGACTGAACTAGGGCAGGGGGTAGATTTCAAAATCATAGACTCTGGAGTTTCTTTGATGGATTGGACTTCTGAATGAGACCAGGAGCTGGAAACAGTGACCACGGCATAGAAGCACCAACACCTGTGTGATACTCCCACCTAGCAGTGGAGGAGACGCTTCTAGCAAAGGGTGATGTAGGAGACTGGGGTGAGAAGGAGTCACATTACTTTTCGAGGGTTCAGCTCTGCCATTCCCTTAGTTGTCCTCCTGTACCTACTGGCAAGTTCTCCCTCCAAACCTGGGGGAAGAGGAGCAGGGGTAGAGAGAAGAGCTCACCCAGACCTCAAGGACTTGCTCAGGTACTGCCCTTGTCCAAAGTCTGCTCCAGGGTCCTGATACAAGTTCTGCCTCTTCATGGCTCAGGACTGTTCAGAGTTTTGGGCAATGTGATGCTCAGTTCCCTGGGAGCCCCAGTCCTTCCCCAGAGGCTTCCTCCCTCTCCTTTTTGCTTTGACACTTGTTCAGCAACCAGTAATGTGATTCCTTAGTGGCTTCTGTACCTTTCTCTTTTGCCTTCCTGGAAAAGCCAAGTTGCTGGGAAGAGGACTAAATGTGAGCTGCTTTCACATTCTTATGCTTGTAAACAGTGGAGGTTTTGAGAAACCTCCAGAAATCTTTCCTCCTGCTCCCTTTTCCTGTGAAGCCTAAGGGCAAACTAAGCTGCTGTAAACCTCTTGCAGATTTCAGTTTCTTTCTTGGGAGAATGACAGAGACAGCTTTGTGTTGCTTTCTAAACTACAGCAAAAAGGACTAGGTCACAGAGCAGGCACAGGAAGGCTGGGAGGACAATTTTGGAACCTTGCATTTCAGTGACCACAGCACTCAGACTCAGGAATTTTGGTCAACACTGGGTAGCTTCTCTCGGATCTCAAAGTCAATGTGGTGACAGAAGATAATCAGGCCATATGCAGCCTGTCTTTGAAGATGCTGTTTTGTCAAGAATCTTCATCTGGGGCAGTCTGGAATTAGATTCCCTGATGGAGTCAGGTCTGTGGGTTACCTGCAGATGGGTACCTGATCAGAAGGTGAGAATGTGGGTCACCTGGGATGAAACCTGGGAGCTCAGTAACCTCAAAGTCCATCAGCATCTTCCTTCCCCTGTCCCCACCTTTTTCAGCTAATTAAGGATCCGTGTGTGTGTGTGTGTGCGTGCGTGTGTATGTGTGTGTGTGTGTATGTGTGTGTGTGTATGTGTATGTGTGTGTGTATGTGCGTGTGCGTGCGTGTGTGTGTGTGTGTGTGCGTGAGTGTGTGTGTGTGTTTTCCAATGCTGGGGATGGAACGCAGGGACTCACACATGCTAGGCAAGTGCTCTACCACTGAGCTCTCTCCCCAGTCCCACACACTGTGTTCTCATTTAACCGGGCATCTGTATTTATTTGCTCTATCTCCAACACTACTGACTTGGGGCTTGGCGAGAGAGTGGATGAAGGAAGGCCAGATGGTGCTGGCTGCGCCAGTACATGGTTTGGTCAGCTCCTCACACTGTCATGTCTGTGCACCCCATGCCTTATTCTCCATCCACACCTGTCACCTCCAGTTTCTTAGGCGAGGGAACAGACAGTGACTGCCCCTGACAATGCTAGGAGGGCCAAGAACAGGACCTATACGATCTTTTTATCACCTAGGGGGAAATCAACACACTCCAAGCTGCAGTCACCCATTTTCACATATTTCTCTCCACGTACCCGTGCACACCCATGCACATACTCACTCATGCATGTACACACCCATGCACATACACACTCATGCACGCACCCACCCACCCATGTACATGCTCACATACACATACATGTCATGTCCTGTCACGTCCTGTCATGTCCTGGAGATTGGATAAGAGAACCAGGAAGAATGTGCTGTAAAGTAGGTGAGGACTGACCTCGCTTTCAGGAGCCATTCCTCTGACTGGCTTCAAGGTGTACTTCAGTCAAAACTAAGTAGTCTTTTTGTTAAGGATATTAAATCTTCATTTGCCCAATTGACAAGTGATAAGGATTGTTCAGGACAGTTAGGAGAGACTTGGTCAGTGGACAGGGTAGAGGCCACAGATTCATTCTCCTCCTGAGCCTTCCCTGCCCAGGAAATGTGTGCTTGGTCTCTGTGTAAATTCAGAGATAACGCTGACCTTCAGGGATATCTGCCTTCATGCATATCCATGCCCTAAGTGGACTGTAATTTCAGTGCCAACTGAAAAACTTGGTAAACATTTGAAGGGAAAAAAAGGGGCACAGCTTTTTCCTGTTCTGCAAGTGTTTGAGTAGTTCATTCTACTTGCAAGAGAGTTTTCTAGAAAATCCTTCCTGAACCTAGCTGGCCACACCTAGCCTGAGAGCTCTGGACAGCCCAGTTTTATGTCTGTCTCACTTCTCTTCACTCCAACTTTGCTGATCCAGATCCAGCCCTGGTAACAGTTGCTCAGAAGGAGGCCTGGTCCTCAGCCTCCTGGTTAGACCCTCCATGAACGCTGAGTCTCTGGGAGTTAAGACATGACCCTACACACATGACGTGCCTCTTGGGAAGGCGAAGAGGAGAGGAGGCCGTCGAACCAGAGAGAACAAACTTTGGCTGCCTGCCTGACCGTGTGCATTTTTCTGGGCCCAGTTCCAAACCACTTCAGGAACTGGAAGAGACAACTTAGCCTCAGGAGAAGAATCTCAGTTTAGAAGAGTTTTACCAAGTGTGCATCAAACACACGGTTGGCAAGTTTGCATTCCTTTGGTGGACTCTGTCCAGATCTGGCCCTGCATTCCTCTTCTACTGGGGAAGAAGGCTCCTCTTCAGAGGCCAGTGGGAGTTTTGGGTCCAGAGGCAGTGGCCATACTGATTTCCAACTATATGGTCTTTGCCTGTGAGGGACCATATCAGGTCTGTTCTCACCCACCTGTCTGGAGGAGGTTTATTTGATACCAGGAGAACTGGCTGGGGCAGAAGTCCCGAGAGCACAGCATGGGCTTCAGGCTCCAGCCCTCGGAGTGCAGTGGCCACTAGAGACCAGAAACGAAGGAGCTAGGGCTGGGACTTAGCTGTGAAGGATTCAATAGAGCTGGGGGTCATTTTCCAGGGTCTTAGGTACAATCTCTCTCCTCTGTCATGATGTGGGATCCATATTGTGTTCCTGAGTGAGTTTGTGGGTGAGTGTCCAAAATATATGGTCAGTTGTTGCTGGGAGGCAGGGTAGATCTGAAACAAAATAATGGACATAAACAATGTTCTTCTCAATCTTTCTTAGTGTACTCTCCTTACGTCTTGCTGGGCTCCAGCTTAAAATTCTCATCTCCCTTTCCTGAGTGTCTTGCAAACACTCAGTTGTGATGTCAACTCTCTATGATACAAGTGACATTCAACACAAAAAGCTGTAAGCTTTAAAAGCAATCAGGGGATTTCAGGCATGTGGTACCTTTGATGTGTTTATGTACGTATGACTCTGTGTGTGTGTGTGTTGTGTGTGTGTATGTGAGAGAGAGATCTCCAATCTTACCACGATTCAAGCAATGCACCCCATCTATATAGATCTGTGCTCTATTCTGCATTTAAGAAGAAATTTCTTTTCCTTTCTTCTAAAGGGATCAAAAGTGGGAGATATTTTCATAAATCATACTTAAAATTTTTAACATTGAACTCAGTCTTCCTCCATGCACATATTTCATATAGAAAATTGCTGTCTCCCCAAGGAATTTGTAGGGACAGGAATGGTCCTTTCTTTCTTTACTTCCTGTAGAGCCAATAGCACAGCGTGAACCCTCCACACACACTGTGGACAAGGAGGGGTGAAAAAGGGGATGATGGTCATGGGCCAAGTTCCCAGCCAAGTGCCAGTCGTGCACTGGGAGCTAATGCTGACTCAGTGCTTGATACTAAACCAGTGCCTCAGGTTCCAGAGATATGGAAGGGTTCCCAGACCTGTTTACAAAAGTTTTCAGCCTTTGTCCCTCTGTGGTGTTCTGCTGTCTCCTTTGGCATTGTCCTCCTCTTCCTGTAGGCTGTTAAATCTCTTGTAGCCATGAACAATTGGCCATTGATCATTGTTCAGGGGCCTCGAGTTCAGGTTCACTCTGCTTTGTAGTTTCTGGGAAAAGCCTGTTTTTCCTCTTCACCTGCACAACACACCCAGCTGAGGCCATGCTGCCCGCTGGGGTGCCTTGGTGGCTCTAGACCCCATGACACACCATTAGCATAGTACCCTGGCAATTTGGGCAGCCAGCTACAGCTGCCTGCATGAGACATGTTAGAGATATGGAGAGAAATTTTAGAATTATCTTTCCACTGAGAAATGCTTTTCCCACATCCAGTGAAACTTGTTGAAACTTGCTCACAGCCTTCTTCCTGCATCCAGAGCAGCTCTGTCCCTAGAAAGCCCATCCTCTAGGCACCTTGGCTAGGTGTCCTCCCAGAGGTCATGAGGAACCTGACCCCCTAGCCCCAAGTCTCTTCCAGCCATTGTCTCATTCTGAGCATCTTGAGACCATAAAGTGTTATTTGTCTTTTCCTGGAAATGGTTCTGCTTCCCAGAAAAGTCATAACATTGGATTGGTTTTGCTTTCACTTTCTGCCTGTGAATGCCTTTACGATTAGCCAGTTCTCTTCTGATGAGAGGGTTGCCAGAGAGAGGCTGTGTGTAGGTTTTTTCTTTCTGCCTCCACAGTTGGGCTGGTTATCCCTGACCTGACGGAGGCGCTCTGTACCTCTTGCTCTCTCTATTGACCCCAGGAGGACACAGTGTGTGCTTCTTGGCGGAGGACAGCTGTGTGCAGGTGTAAGTTCCTGTGCTGTAGGCTGCAGTGAGGGCTTCAACAGGCTCAACATTTTCAGTTTTCAGTGGAAACGCTGGATCTGATCTTTGACATCTGAAATCTCTCCAGCTCTGGTGAGTGAGACAACTCTGCATCTGTAGTGACTGGGGTCTGCCTCTGTGCTTGGAGGGCTGAGGACAGAGCTGTCTGGGGGAGGCAGCCAGTCAGGTCATGATCTTTACACAACAGACAACCAACTTTGGGTGTGAAGATGCCTTTTGTTGTTGAGAAAATTGAGAGATTATTTGGACTCAGCAGTTGTATTTATGGGATGTCTCCCATAGGAAACTATGCAGTGTTCCCTGTAAAATTCTTGGTTTTCTGGTTCTAGCATTTCACTGTCATAGAGTCATCTAACAGCTCTGTGAGTTTTTGAAAATTAGTAACAATGCAAATAATGTTCTTCCATTGGCACATAAATCAAATCAAACATAAATGGTGCATATTTGAGGTGTGTGGTGTGCTAACTACTACAGTTTGGTCACTGGATAGTTTATATATGTGTGGAAAGCTCATGATTTTAATTTTATTGTGTTGTTAGGTACTGGGGATGGAACGCAAGGCCTAGTGCTTGTTAAATAAGTGCTTTGCTACTTTAGCTATGCCCCTCCCAAAAAGTGTGATCTTTATCACACCTGTTACTTTTTGGAGCAATTTAAAAAACCCAGAAATGTATTCTCTTAAAGTTCAGGAGGTTAGAAGTTCAAAGTTAGTCTTCATGTGCTATAATCAAGGTATCAGTAGGCTGGCTCCTTCTGGAGAGTCCAAGGAACATCCATTTCCCTCTCTTCCTCAGCTTCATAGGTTACCTGCTTTCTTTGACTCTCAGTCCTTCTTTCATGTTTATTAATCCTCATTCCAATTTCTGCTTTTGTCATTCCACATCTGTCTTTTGTCTTCTTTCTTCTTCTTGCCTTACTCTTGTAAGGACCTTGGTGATGAGATTGCACCTACCTGGGTAGTCCAGAATATTGGTCCCATCTGATGACCCTTAATTTAATTTCATCAGTCGAGTCCCTGTTGATAAATAAGACTTTCTATTACAGTTTTGGAGGTTTAGGATGTGGACTTGTTTAGGAATTGTTCTTCTGAAAACTTAGGGACTGCTGCACTGTCTTGACTGCTGAGACAGAGAACTCAACAGCACAGAGAATAGGCAGTCTCTTTTCCAGCAGTGGCAACTAAACTCACCAGGAAACAAAATTAGTTATAGTAGCATGAATCAGTGTGAGAGGAGGGAAGTGGCCCATAGAGAGCAGTAGGTTTCTTCAGCAGACCCCATGTTTCTTTCTCTGCTCCATTTTCCTTAAAAATGTCACTTTGTTGTCTTTCTTTTTCACAGAACTTCCACCATTAACTGCCATGGATCTGTACATCACAGCCTTCCTGAAGAATATGACAGGAAAGAACTTTCAGCAATTGGCTGCTGACTTTGTGCCTGAATACTCTAAACTAATCAGTAAGTCGGGAGGAATCCTCTCTCCGGAAAGCCTCAGTAGCATTCAAGCAGCCCTGCAAGAGGGGAAACTAAAGGATGTGGTGGAGAAGATTCAGCAATCACTTACTGAAGCAGAAAATGCTTCCCTGGCTGTGGCTGTGATCGGGGAATCTGGGACAGGGAAATCCAGTTTCATCAATGCCCTGCGAGGACTTAGTCATGAAGAGGAGGGATCAGCAAGTGTTGGGGTTGTGGAGACCACCATGAAGAAAACACCCTATCAACATCCAAAATATCCCAACGTGACCTTTTGGGATCTGCCTGGAACTGGCACCCCCAATTTCCACCCAGACACTTACCTAGAAACAGTGGGATTTGCTGAATATGACTTCTTCATCATCATTTCTTCCTCTCGGTTTAGCTTCAATGATGCTGACCTGGCCCGGAAAATCAATGAGATGGGGAAGAAGTTCTACTTTGTTAGAACCAAGATTGATAGTGACTTATACAATGAAAAGAAATTCAAACCCAAGTCCTTCAAAAGTGAGAAGGTTCTTCAGCAGATCCGAGACTACTGCCTGGCTAATCTTAGTAACATTGGGGTGCTTGAGCCGGACGTCTTCTTGATCTCCAACTTTGATGTGGGTGACTTTGATTTCCCCAAACTGGAGCAGACTCTGCTGAAGGATCTCCCTGCCCACAAGCGCCATGTTTTTGCGCTCTTGTTGCCTGATTTCTGTGATGCTTCAATTGAGATGAAGAGAGATTTCCTCAAGGAAAAAATCTGGCTGAATGCCATGAAGTCAGGAGTTTTGTCTTTCATCCCATTCATGCCCTTCATTAATGGGTTTGATTTGCCTGAACAGGAAATGTGTTTGAAGGTTTACCGAAGCCATTTTGGCTTGGATGATAAATCGATTGAAAAGATTGCTGAGAAGCTGGGTACATCTGTACAGGACATCAAAAGCTACACCAAGTCCTTGGATTTCTGGCACCTTGTGAAGGATGACAGCATAGCCACAAAAGCCATGAAATGTGCTGAATCCTTCTGTGCTTTTAAAGGAGGCCCTTTGTCTGCTGTTGTCCAGTTTCTGAAAATCTACTTTCTACACTCGAAATTCCTCAACACAGTGGCAGATGATGCTAAAATTCTCCTGCGTATGATGAAGTAGAAATGGTATGCCTGGCCTAACCAAATGCACAGGCAAGACTCAGGTCTTGCATTCTCATGATGAGCTGGGGTCCTCTTCCTCCCAGCTTGCAGGCCAGCTCTTCCCTAAGGTAGAAAGAATATCTGTTCTGTGGAGGAAAGCCATTTCTTCACCTGTGAACACTGCTCTGCAATGATTATTTAGCCATAGCCTGTTTTCAGCTTTCATTGATGTTTTGCTTGAAGCATGACAGTAACTCACCATTTGCTATCAATTAATCTATGTGATATGAGCCAGTCTCCTTTTGTACTACTTACTAACATAATAAACAGATTGTGACAATGAGGATGAAAGTTATATATTGTCACTTTATAATTCTTTTCCCTCTCAGTCATCATCTTAATACCCTCCTCACCAAAACAGGGAAGACACAGAAACATGAGAACATAGTTAAATATATAGTAAAACGTTTATAGTGCGAAAATGCAGCAAGATCAAGAGGAGCTGCAAAAAGATGAGAGAAATGGTCTTATGTGTCATAGTTCCCAGGAATGGTTTCTATTTCTGGGAATTTGTCAGTAAAAGCATGGCAGAGCAGCTGCCCAGGGCCAGTGGAGCAGAACCGCCACTGCCCCAGTGATGTCTCTAGGAACAGCTGCTGGTGCCTGTGTCTCATCTCAGAGCTGTCCCTCTACTTCCAAGATTCTTGTTTTTGAATGTGTGGTTCAAGCAGTAGAGCACCTGCTTTGCAAATATAAAGTCCTGTAAATTCTGGTTATAAATCCCTTGTCAGATCTGTAGCAACTCCAGTCCTACCCAAAAAATGTTTATGAATAAGTTTTTTTTTTTTTTTTGGCAGTACTGGGGATTGAACTTAGAACCTCAAGCAGGTTCTCAACCGCTTCAGTCAGACCTTCAGTTCCAAAGTGGAAATAGTTTTATGATATTTTTTATGGCCCTTAAGAAATGAGAAATCCACAGAAATACGCATCATTTTAATTGGCACTACTGGGGGTTGAATCATGGCCTCATGCTTGCTAGGCAAGCACTGTACCAGTTGAACCATAGTCAGTATTTTTTGCTTTTATTTTTCAGTTAGATTCTCAGACTTGTTTGGGGTGGCCTCAGACTGTGATCCTCCTACCTTCACTGCCGAGTAGCTGGGATTAGAGGCACGGGCCGCCATGCACAGGTTGCTTTAGATAGGGTCTTTCTAACTGTTGCCCAGGTTGGCCTTGAACTGTGATCCTCTTATTCCACCTCATGAGTAACTGGTATTATAGACAGCCATCTTGCCCAGCCTCTCATCTCAACTTTTACCAATGTGAATTCTTCACATTCCTTTCCATTTTCCCCTGCTCATACCCGGTGGACCCATCCTAAAAGCCTCAGAGGCGACCCACCGACATTCCCTGTCATAGAGGCCGGTCCTGATTCTTGTAGAAAAAAAATCATATAAAACAAAAGCACACATACAGACACAAGTGAGGTGTAGAGTCTGAACAAAAGACATAACTTTGTGTGGGTGAAATTTGCTGAGGATATGGAGTGTTCAGGTTCACATCCTCCCTTGGTCTGTGCTCTGCTATGCTGAGGTCTTCTCTGTGCCAACCGGCTCATAGCTTTCCTTGATCACCGTGTGTTGCCTCTTCCTCTTCTGTCACATTTGCTCACTGCTCAGTATGTCATTGTTCATTCTGCTGGAACCTGGAACAAGGGAGACCAGGCACTAGGGTGTGGGGACAGGAACGTTGTCTGCTGTGAGTCATTTGTCAGGGTGGAAAGGAGCTCCCTCTCAGCAAATTCTCCTGCTTCACTTGCCCTATTATTCTTCTTTCCAATAGAGCAAGTTTAGAGGTAAACAAATCTCTCATTTGGACAACTATAACACCACCACTCATTTCATCAAAGAGGGCTCATGTCCTACCCATCAGTACATCAGCTTATGTCTCTGCACATGAGGAGTCTTGAAAGGGGATTTGTATGTACTCCCTGTTCACTGTCATCCAGACTTCTCCCCTTGCTTTTGTCCATTAGCAAATACTTATTGAGCACATGCTTATGCTATTTTCTAGTGACAGGAAGAGAAGTAGAAGAACAAAACAAAGATCCTTGCCCTTGTAGATGGAAGAAATATTGGGATCAGAAGGCAGAGAGCCAGATCCACAGACAAGGTAGGAAAACAGCCAGTCAGTCTCTCTGCAGTTGACAAATGCAAGTGAGGAAAGGAAGAGGGGCGATGGGTGGTGGTGGGGGGTGGTGGGGAGAGTCAGGCAGGAGGATGTTACAGGGTGAAATAATGAAGTGAGAGAAGTCCCACTAGGCAACATGACATGAAAGAGGGCAGAGGGTAAGTCTGGGTGTATTTGCAGCTAAAGATGCAAAAAGGTGAGGTGGAAAGAGGTCTGATCTATTGGAGGAATCTGATGGGGATTAAGGAAAGTGAGAGACGGGGCAGAGAAGTCAACTCAAAAAATAGCCTTATCAGGAGTTTGTCATTTTAAGTGAGGCAGGATCCCGAGGGCAGGATGGGGTAGAGAAGCGTCCTGGTCTATGTCCCTAACGGAAGGGTCACTGGTTTCTGTTTTCAGCATGACTGTAGAGATGCCAGGGCTGAGAAGGGTCTCTTCTGGGAGCTCTCTGCAATTATCCCAGCTGAAATGAGGATGGTTGAAATGAACAAGGAAATGGGAGAAGTGACAGGATAGACAGGAATATCAATCAGTAGCACTGGCAAAGTGGAGGCTGAGAAAATGTGTTGTTATGTAGATGACTCCTGTGCAGCTGGAGGTGGGGGTAGGCATCACCACTTTTGGAATGAGAAGACTGGAGGAGTTGGAGTGGGGAGAGAGGCCTGGGGTCAGATTCAGTCATGTTCACTTAGTCAAGATCTTCCTAGGTGTACCAATGGGAAATGTTACATGAATAATGCAATATTTGGTCTGGAGTCACGGGAGGGACCTGGGTGCAAATTCTGGAGTTGCCAGATCCTACTTGAAGCTGAGATAACCAAGAGGGTGATGGATTCAGCTGGAACAGAATCAGGACTGAACCCACAGACACCCCGTATATTAAGTGTCATAGTTTGTATGTGGGGGAAAGTGCTTACCTTCATCCACTTTCTGTTTTGTTTTTACGAACTGGTGTTTTGTCTTAGTTTTCTTCTGCATTTGTAATGGAGTACCTTCTTCAGCTCAAGTTTCTTTCTTTTTCATGGCTCAATGCTATCATTTTAAATTCACTAAAAATTCTGTGTTTCCAGGACAATATTCCGGATGCTATGTGTAACAGAACATCAAAGCAGGACCCATTCTTTCTTTTTCACTTTGGCTCTTGAAATGGTTCCATTTCAAGGCAATTTATCCCATAGAAATTTCAAAGGAATTGGTTAGAACCATTTAGAAGGCTATCAAAGAGCTGTCCTCTCTGATGGTATGAGTGGGTTAGGGTATGTGGAGAAATATGTGAAGTGACATTGAGAGAGAGAAATTCAGGGGTGCTGTCTAAGAGGACAAGTATAGTGCACCTGCTTTTCACCTTAAACTTAGATTGAGGCTTTCAGTGGGAGTTTTGTTAGAGCAGTTAGATGACAACAAACTGGTCCCTGTCCCAAGCCTGAGAAATTTAAAGGTTAAGAGCTGGGTTACCCAGCTGAGATAGCAAAGGATCAAAAAGTACTGAGAGGAGAGCATGCTGGTAAAAGGAGGTGATGTGCATTCCATGGTTCCCACCTGGGTCATATGCAGGAGAGAGCTGGCTTAGAGTCATTTCAGGTCATTTTTTCTTTTATATGAATTGAGTATTTACTTCAAAGTGTGACATTTCAAACTTCTATTTAATAACTTCTCCACATACCTTTACCTACTCAATATACTTTTAGCAGCACTGGGGTTTGAACTCATGCTTGCTAGGCAGGTGCTGTTACCACTTGAGCCACTCTGCCAGCCCTTCCCACCTATTAATAGTGATCAGACGCTTCATTGAGAAAAACTCTTTACTCAACACAAATCATGTTAAAGTTTCCACAGCTAAAGATTTTGTTGTTTAGAATATTTTCTGTTTCTTTTTTTCTTGGTGGACTGGGTTTGAACTCAGGGCCTTCTACTTGCAAAGAAGGCACTCTACTGCCTTAGCCACCCCTCCATTCCATTCTTCTCTGGTTATTTTGGAGACAGGGTCCTGTGAACTATTTGCCTGGACTAGTCTTGAACTGTGATCCTCCCGATCTCAGCTTGCCAAGTAGCTAGGATTATAGCTGTGAGTCACTGGTTCCCAGCTCAGTTTCTTTCTTTCCTCTTTAAAGGTTTTTTTCTTTTTAAACATTATACCTTTTAAAAGTTATTCTTAGCATATTATAGTTGGGATTCATTGTGACAGTGACCTAAATGCTTAAAATAGACCTTAATAAGATTCACCGCCTCCATCTTTCTTCTTTATCCTTCCAAAATTGTGCCTTTTAACTAGCATACATAGATAGTGTGGGGTGTTTCATTGTGATAATTCCATAGATTTGTACAGTGTACTTAGTGAGCAGAAAATGAAGAAGCCAGCGAGAGAGACGGAGAAAGAATCTGCCACCTTTGTCAGCAGCAGGTCTTTATTAGGGAGAGGAGATCTGAGAAGGACCCTCAGCCTCACAGTAACGCTCTGAGAGGGGCGAGGCAGCCTCTCTTTTTTTTTTTTTTTTTTTTCAGCCTCTCTTACAGGCTGGGGTTTGATGCATCCTGTGGTTGGAAAAGGGAGGGTGGAGGGGGATAGAGATTAGAAAAATGACGCAAAGGGGGGATGAGGAGAGGCGCCGGACTTTAACGGGAAGGTCAGCGAGGCTGGGCAGCCAGCCATATGTGTTGTTTTTCTCTGGCTCTTTTATGGGAGGTAGCCTTGTTTGTATCGTTTTTGTGTCTCTCGATATTCCAGCATTCCTGGCCTTTTATATATATCGCTGGTCTGCCTACTTCCTGCTGGTCAGGTACAATGTGGGGGGTTGTCGAGTCTGGAGAGTTGTAGAAGCATGATGGCTTTAAATTGCTCCCTGGGGTAGCCCGAGAAACGGCAGTAACACACTCCTGCAGAAATCTTTGGAGGATATTAATAAGACTTGGTAGAAACATGAAAGCCAGAGAACACGGATGAGAGGAACTGCCAATGGAGTGAGCCATGGGTATAAGGAGGAAAGAATATCAGTAGGTTGCGAGGATGGTAGCTGTTGTGCCCTATCTTTAAGTTTTTTATTATGTCTCTGACAGTGTCAGATTTATTGGCAAAGAAACAACAATCCTCCCCTAAGAAGAGACATAGCCTGCCCTTTTCAGCTGTGAGAAGATCTAATCCCCTCCTGTTT